CCCGCGGTACAGCTCACGGCGGCCAAGAGAGGAGTAACGCACAAGGAGTTTAAATGGCACATGGTAGCCAGCCAGCCCGCGACCGTGGCCGAATTCCTCAADCTCGYRGACAAGTTCATGAGAACAGAGGAAGAGATCAACCAAAGGACCGAAGGCGGGGTCGAGAAAAGGAAAAGAGAAGGTGAGCCCTCCAACCCAGGTGACAAGAAACCCGACCCGGGAGGCGAAGCCGAGCCAGCCGTCCCGAGCTCCCTTAGCAGTTCGGACGGATTATACACCGTTAAACACGAGGCAGACCGAGATCTTGATGACAATCAAAGACGCCTCATACGTTAAGTGGCCACCTCGCCTAAAGGGGAATCCAAACGAGAGAAATAAAAATCTGTACTGTAGTTTTCATAGAGATCACGGTCATAGTACCGAACAATGTAATAACCTCCGGGACGAGATAGAGGGATTCATTCGTCGCGGATACTTGAGAAATTTTGTACAGCATAATAATAATAATAATAACAATAAGGCAGGTCGACAAGGGGAGCACGGAAAGGACGCCCCCGAATTCAGCAGCAGACTAGCCGAAGCATTGCAACGACAGCCTCCGGAAGAGAGGCCAATTCGGGGAACCATCCATGTGATAGTGGGAGGTTCGGTGGTAGCAGGGTGTACTTCGGCAGCAGCCCGGACGTCAGTTCGCGAGGCAGCCCGAGAAGAACAGAACCCTCCAAAGAGGCCGAAGACAGAAGAACCGATCTTCACGGAAGACGATGCGCGAGGTGTCCACTACCCCCACAATGACGCGCTCGTCATGAAACTAAGGATCAACGACTTCGAAGTCGGGAGCGTACATGTGGATTCAGGTAGTTCGGCGGACATCCTCTTCAAGTTGGCATTTGACCAGCTACAGTTGCGGAGAAGCGAGCTGAAGCCCGCAAACACTCCTCTGGTGGGCTTCAGCGGAGAGGAAGTCAGGCCCCTCGGGAAGATAACAGTACCTGTGGAAGTCGGCACATGGCCTTGTGCAGACTCAACCACGATTTCCTGGTGGTCGCGACCCCCTCCCCATACAATGCCATAATAGGGCGGCGAATTACGCATATTCTGCGGGCAGTGGTCTCCACCTACTAACTGGCAATGAAGTTCCCTACAGACTTCGGTGTGGGGGTAGTGTGGGGCGACCAGCTTGAGTCCCGCAAGTGTTATGTTGCCGCCCTGAAGGGAAAAACCAAGGCGGCCGACGACCTCGAGCTGGAGCGGCCTACTGAGCAGGGCGAGGAATGAGCTTCGCCCACAGAGGAAACAGTCGCAATCCCGACCTCGGCTACGGATCCGGCTCGAACGCTATAGATCGGTGCTTCTGTCAAGGAGCCTCTACGAACTGAACTGGTGAGTTTCTTACTTCAAAATTTAGATATTTTTGCATGGTCCGCAACCGATATGCCCGGTATTGACCCTGGTCTTATAACTCACAAACTTAACACTGACCCTGTAGTCAGACCCATTAGACAGAAGAAACGCAACTTAGCCCCAGAGCGCTGGAGAGCGGTCGACGAGGAGGTCGAAAAGCTCCTCGCAGCAGACTTCATATGGGAAGTTCATTACCGAGGTAGGTAGCCAACCCGGTACTGGTAAAAAAAGCAAACCGCAAACGGCAAGTGGCGCATGTGCGTCGACTACACCGACCTGAACCGAGCTTGCCCAAAAGACTGTTTCCCCCTCCCCAGAATTGACCGCCTAGTGGACGCAACCTCGGGACACGAGTTGCTAAGCTTCTTGGACGCCTACTCAGGCTACAACCAAATCAGGATGGACCAGTCCGATGAGGAAAAAAACTTCATAACCGAGTTCGGCCTGTACTGCTACAAGGTCATGCCCTTCGGACTGAAGAATGCTGGGGCGACCTTCCAGAGACTTGTAAATAAGCTGTTTCGGCCCTTAATTGGCACGGAAATAGAATGTTATGTAGATGACATGGTCGTCAAGACGCAGTTTTCACAGGAATTAATAAAAGACTTAGATTCAGTCTTCCAAATTTTGCGTCAATTTAGCATGAAACTGAACTCAAACAAATGTGTC